GCCTGATCTACCGTTGCAGTGGCCACCGTCACCAGATCAGGGCCCAGTGCCAGTGCCGGCGAAACACGGACATCAACCACCGCGCCGGCCCCTCCGCCAGCTCCAGCGTTGGCAAGGGTTTGACGAGCAGACGGACGAGATGGAGCATTTGGCATCCAAGGTGGTACGGGACCACCGGGGCCACCGGCGCCTCCAGCAGCTGCGGCAGAAACTTGATCTCAGACTGATCCACCTCCGATTCCTGTGGAGATAAGTCCCGTACCCTCCAGGATTACCGCCTGCTCCGGGACAGGCCATGCCGACGAAAACGAGCCCGCAGACATTCGACATCAGTGACGTCAGTTGGCAGGAGGAAGGCGACAGCATCACTGACAACTTACCGCCGAGGCCATCGTTTCCGCCGCCGGCACTTTTGAGAACGCAGACGGCTACGCCCAGAGTGCGAGTTGAGGAGGCAGGCAGTTGGATATTAGATCAACGACATAAGGAAAAACCATAGCAGCAGGGCGTCGAGGTAGACGACGCCAGCGTGATCAGCGATGAGGCGCCCGCTCCACCGAGCGGGACATCGGGAGCACCGCCGCCGCCAGCAGCCAGCAGCCGGGCGGCGGCGGGCAGCGTCGACTCCTGCTCCAGTGAACGAAAAAGCAGTCTTTTTTTCACCGCATCCTCAACTTCCAATACCACCGGCACCTGCGACGTTGATTGACAACCCCGAGAGAGTACTTCAACAAGTGACATCGAAACGACGTGAACTTAGCAGATCACCGCCCATGAGGCGGAACGAGCCTGGAACATCGAGTTCTTCCGGCAGCAAGACTACGCCAGCGACGAAATCTACAACACCGACACCGACTACAGGAACACCAGCAACGATACTTCTCTTGAACTCAACAACCATCTCAACCCAAACCTTCATCTCCATTATCGGCACCTACGACAACACCAAAGAAGTCAACGGACACCCCATCAGGATCGTCATCAGGACCAGAGCTGCCGATCACATTGACACCACAGACACGAATAGGAGCTCAGACTCCTGAGGCAGACAAATGTACTCTTTGTCTATGATGACTGCGAAGAACCCACCGTTGACTATGGACCTACTAAAATACCAGCGGTTGTTTTACCTCAAGCGACGGCGCCAGCATCGTGGAAGCATGGCATCACGACCGACCTGGGAGAAGCACGTATCAAGAAATCACCCTCACAGGCTCCAGAGACTAAGAGGATGCGAGCCAACTCGGAACCACCGGTATCCAAGCGACCCTTACCTATTCTGGAACCATCAGCTCAGGGCGACTCCAAGATCGGCTCATCACCTTCCCTGACGGAGGCCAAGCGTTCACTACTCTTTGACAGTTACACTGCGTTTGGAGGTCAACAACTGAACAATATTCACGTGCAAGTTCGGCATCTTACCAGTGCCTGCGTGGACCTCGAGGAGCTGCATGAGCACCAGGAGATCATGACCAGCATGGCTCGAGAAGTATCTGAGAGCCTCCAGTGCATGAGCAGTCGCGAGCCCAGCTGGGCAGCCAAGCAGGCACACTGGACAATCCCAGGATCTTTGAAAGAAAGCAGGAACTTCTACTTCGACTCGAACACCGGCGAGGCGATCTTCCCGCAGAGTGATGACACTTTCAGTGTACGGGACCTGATAGAGTATTTGCCCCTGGTGGAAGCAGCAGATGGATCGGAGTCGCGCTCTTTCGTGGACAATGCATGCTTCAAGGCAGCTCATCGCAGCAACATGGGCAGCGCGAGTGTGATCGACGCGGTTTGGGCGAGACGCTGGAAGAAGGTCTTTGGCAAGGACAACAACATTACTTACGTCATCAAGCCTCGACTATGCGGCAGAGGTTTCGCGGGCGCTCGAAAGCGTAATCTCATGAGACACAGCTCGACAGCATCGAGATTATCTCAGAGATTGATAGCGTCGCTGCTCGCGACTGAGAAGGGCATGACAATGGAGACCTGGGATATTTCGACGGCGTTTCTGCAAGGCCTTGGACAGCATCGGAAGCACGCCAGGCGAATGAGCATTGAGGTTCGTGAGCAGCGCAAGATTTACCTTCAGCCCCCGGCCAATGTTTGGCGGCCCGTCAGAGGATATGAGAAGAGCAACATCAGGATTCCTGAGCATGAGGTTATGTTCTTTGTGCTGCAGTTGCTCATGCCCATCTATGGCACCGTGCACGCACCATTATCATGGCAACAAGCACTCACCCTTCACGTGGCGGACGAGCTGGAAGGCGTGCAGAGCGCGTTCGGCGACATTTTTTTCATGTGGGTCAGAGAAAGCAGCATCATGATGGTCTGGGCAGTGCACGTTGACGACATCATTGTGCTTGCGAAATCATCTTGGCTACAAGGGAATTTAGAACCCATGGATAAGAGATTGGGAAAGGTCAAGAGACTCTCATTACCCTCCACTCACTTGGGAATGTCTTATGAAGTATTCGGCGGTCGACATTTACCCATTCATCAGCGCGTGCTTACTGGAGGACGCAAGAAGATCGACACCCCCCATTGACGCTCAAGGATAAGCCAGACCTTGAGTGCGACGCGAAGCTGGCCCACGAGCTGCGATCAGTACTTTGTTCACTCCTTTGGCTGTTCCAGACAAGAGAGGACATCTACTGCGACGCCGTCCAGCTGCTCGGAAAAGCACCATCGGCCACGCGAAGCAAGCCAATCCCATCGTGGATCGAGCGAAGCGCAACATGACGATGGCAGGCCCCCCCAATTGGGGCCACTATCGCATCCAGCGCGGCTTTGTTCGGTTGGCGACGCAGGCCATGGCAACACAGAGACATCATACCCACAAGAAGGAGCAGCAGCCTTTCTCATGGAGGACCACATGGACCGCGTCCGGGTGGACAGGAAGGATCAGGTTCATCCAGACGACAACGAGACCCTTGGTGGCAGCACTCACTCGCTGATGGTTTCATCCAGCAAGTCGTAAGCGCATACCACATTCAACATGCAATGCGGAGACGAGTGCAAGCTGCGAGGTAAACCAGACGGCCCAATTCATAGCATTGCGCATGGCAGAGATCCTCAAGTGTGGACCGACCCAGAACAAGACCAAGGACATGATGGAGATCTTCGACCAATCACATTATCAAGTACGAGTAGAGCACTGTCCGGATTGCATGGGTTCCTGGCAGTTGCGTCGTGGAGTAAAAGGGGTACCATCAGACAAGTCCAGCAGATCGGCAATGCTCAGTATGAGAGAGGAACGACTCAGCGGCAGGATCAGGAATTTCATAAATTTGCCCACCGAGGTGGTCATCGTAGGCGGCCTCACCAAGACGGGTACCTTCAAACAACTAATGGAGCATATAACTACGGGCATCTGGTATCTCGACCTCAGAAGGACAAAGTAATAACGATGAGGCGCATCCTGAACACCAAGGACAGGCTCTCAGAACAGGACTTGCTCGACCCCGATGCACGAGTTTCAGCATGGAGAACTCCAGGTGGCTTGTTGTATATTGAGCTATGTTCTAGCGATGAGTTCTGCGAGGATGCTGTCTTGGAGCCTGGTCTGGATCTTAACATATGTTATTGCCTTGAGTTGTGCGGGGATGCTGCCAGTGATCTTGATTTTGATATTGCCTGGATGGCTGGACGCTACAAACATTTCGCAACTATCTTGGTCTCGTTGGTATCAGTGTATCAGTGGATTCGTTATGCTACTTTGGTGAGAGGCTACGCGAGACTGATCACTGATGGTGTTCAATGTCAGGCATTCTATTTTATCTTAGACCACGAGCTCGAGGAGTTCGTGGATATGCATCATGGCGAGATTCGTGAGAGGTCGGACTGCCTCTCGTCTCTTTTGTTGCCAGTCTAGCCCCGGCTCTGTTTTGATCAGGTGGGCCCATCTGTTCTTCCAGGGACTCAGGCTTAATTTGCTTCGGGTTTTCGTTTCATGTGTCTGAGATGTTCTTGCACCCTGCGAATCTACACGTAGATCCAGGACACCTAGTACCGGAGCGAAGATTTCTGCGAGATCGCATGCAGGGAAGTAGAGAAGTATCTGTTCTTATCAGCACATACGTGTATAGCGGTGCTTGGTAGTTGAGCAGTCAGAGACATGTGTGATGAGCTCCCGTACTGACATCGGGGCTCTATGCTTTGTTGAAACAGAGTGATCTCCGCTAGGGAGGTGAGGGAGGGAGAGGGAGGGAGAGGGAGTGGAGGGAGCAGAGGGAGGGGAGGGAGGGGAGGGAGGCAAGCTAGGCGCGCTCGCGTCATATCTGACATCCTACCCCTCCCTCCCATCCCCTACCATGGCGCAGATCCACTCTCTACCCGCACAGTCGGATGTCGAGCAGGGCAATGATCCCGAAAGGGTAGGCGATGCATTGTAGAGCACGGCGTGGCATGGCGTAGAAGAGTACCGCACAGCGTAGTATCAACCTAGCATTGCGTTGCACGCCGTTGCATGGCACGAGAAATGGCGCCAGCGCTGCAGCGGGAGCGCGAGTCGAAACGAGCGGAAACGCGCAAATAAGGCCAACGCTGCAGCGGGAGCACGATTCGGAACGAGCGGAAGCACGGAAATGAGGCCAGCGCTGCAGCGGGAGCGCGATTCGGAACGAGTGGGGCCCCAGAATGAGGCCAGCGCGGCGCCTCAGCGAAAGCAGCATTTTGGAAACAAATGCAGGCGAAAACCCAACTCCGGGGAAACTTGCGTGTAAAAAAACAATACGCGGGGGGGGGGGGGTCGGACACTCCCAGGCCGTCATCAGGGGAAGAGGGACAATAGTATTCATATTGAGTAATTGTACAGGGAGGGGAGGGAGGAAAGGGAAGGGGGGGAAGGAAGAGGGAGGGGAGGGAGGAGAAGGAGAGGGAGGGAGAGGGAGGAGAGGGAGGGGACGGAGGAAAGGGATGGCAGGGAAGGGGCGAGGGGGGGAGGGGGCCGCCGCCGCCACCGACCCCCGCTGGCGCCCGCGCGGCCGCGCCCCCTCCTCGCAGCGGCAGAGGCGGCGCACGCCGGCACGCTGGTCTTCCTGGCGGCGCAGTTCGCGGTGGTGAGACTCGAGCAGCGGCGAAGCGTCTCGGCTTCAAGGGCTCCCATGAGGGCGCGAAGTTATTCGCGCTTCGCGCTTCGCGGTCCTCGTTCCTTCTCCCCCTCCTCCTCGTCCTCCTTTTCTCCCTTTGGGGGGGCGGCGCGAGGGCGCGAAGTTATTCGCGCTTCGCGCTTCGCGGAGCGCGAAGCGCGAAGTTGGGAGCCCTGGCGGCTTGCCTAGAGGCTTAAGTCGGGCCTGTCCTTCCACACGAGGAGTATGCGAAACTGGCCAAACAAATAGTTAGGGGCGTTTTTTTTTTTTTTCCTCTCTCTCTCTGTCTCTCTCTCCAAAAACAAAATTGCATAACATATAACAGAAATCAGCTATGTGTTGGGTATGTTTTACTTGTTGTGCAGAATCCTCCCGTATGGGAGACATGCTGGACCTAAGCCACCAAATAATGCTATAAGAACCTTCTGTGGTCTGCGCAATGTGTCATTCGAGCATTTCTGGCTGGGATGGTTTATACGTAAAAGCGGGCTTCTGTTCTAACCGCACTGCTTTGGTCTTAGAATATTTCTGAGATCTAAGAACACTCCATGGTGGGCCCATAGGAATGCCAGGACGGTCGGTCCCTGCTAAAAACACGAAGCCAGGACGAGGGTAAAATCGTGTGAGGGTACATCGGGAATCTCTGAGAGCCGGCTGCTCTGGGCTGCGGCCGTCCCAGAGCGTGACTGAACGCTCTCAGGGCGTTCCGGAACGCTCTGGAGCAGAGTTGTCCTCGTCCCAGCCCCGTCCCAGGTGGCGCTGGCGGGGCTGCAGAAGGAGGCGCGGGCCAGCGCGATGGGGGAGCGGGCGGGCGGGGGGGGAGTCTGGACGAGGGGCTCCGTTTCTGCCCTCGGGGAGCAGACACCGACGTAAGCTCATGATGCTCCAACCTTCTCGAGCCCTGATCACCGGAAAGAAGTTCGAGCACCAGGAGTGTGCCGCATTTGGAGGGTGTTCACGCGTCGGGCCCTGGGAGGCGATACGGTCGACATTGCTTCGATACTTTTCTGGATGCTCGAAGTTACTTCCGGGATGTGGTCCTCGAGTACGATGGGTCCGCGCGGGTCGCTCGGATCTGCGCTGGAGCCTCCGTTGTGCGAGCTCTGCGCGGGAGGTGCTGCACGGGGCCAGGAGCGCCGCGCGGACCTCCTAAAACTGTAGGCTTCTGTTATTGCGTGCCAGCTTGAAACCTACCTCGGTATCGTTTAACCGATCCCCACCCCCCTCGAGACCCCCACCAAGTTACCTCCCCAGTTGGGGATGTACCCCTCGAGGCCCGAAGGGAACGACCTGCATCCCCATCTAGGGGGTTTAATCGGCCAGTGGGGCCCAGGCCACGCCGCTAGGAATGGGGATCGGTTAAACGATACTCATTATGTCACTGCGTGCCAGCTTGAAACATATCCCCATCCCTCGAAGACGAACAAAACGCCAGAAACAAAACTGTTGGCGCCGGGCCCCCCCCAGCGGCGCCTCCAGTGCCGTCCCTGGCGAGTTCCGCGCGCCAGGGAGGGGTTCCAGCGCAGAAACCCCTCGCGTCTTTTCTTCTTCTAATCCCCCGGTTTGGCATCACCTTACCTCGGTGCCGATCGTGAGGATTCCCTCGTCTTCTGAGGGCAAGTCCCAGAGATTGTCGTCGCACTGGGAGGACTCCTCCCGGAGGAGTGCCGGTCTTAGGGGCAGGGAGGGGTCCGAGGCTGGTGGACTGTGTGTTCCCCTGCCCGTGCCTGCCATGGCGGCAGACAGGCCATGGCAGGCCACAGCCCGCGGGAACCGTGGGTCCTTGCCCTCCCGGGGCCCCGCGAGAGGTCGTATGCACTACACTCCACCCGCACAGCAGGATGGGCAACTTTGGAAGGGGTATCCTGGCATCCTCGCCTCCTCGGACCATCCTTGGCGACGTTCGCTGGCCAACCCCGTTCGACAAACATTCACGTGGCCTTGCAAGGCCCTGGCATCCTTACCGCGCATCCGTATGATACAGGTTGACTGTAGGGGCTCTCCCCCAGGGAATGTGGGGGGGGTGCACGGCTCCGCCAGTCATGGCCGGCCTGGGTGACGGAGGAGACGAGCAGGAGGGAGAAGGAGCTGGAAGAGCACGACAGGGAGGGGCGGCAAGGAGGAGAGGGGAAGAGGGAGGAGGGGGTAGGAGAGGACAAGATGATGATGATGATGATGATGATGATGATGATGATGATGATGATGATGATGATGATGATGATGATGATGATGATGATGATGATGATGATGATGATGGCCAACCCCGTTCGACAAACATTCACGTGGCCTTGCAAGGCCCTGGCATCCTTACCGCGCATCCGTATGATACAGGTTGACTGTAGGGGCTCTCCCCCAGGGAATGTGGGGGGGGTGCACGGCTCCGCCAGTCATGGCCGGCCTGGGTGACGGAGGAGACGAGCAGGAGGGAGAAGGAGCTGGAAGAGCACGACAGGGAGGGGCGGCAAGGAGGAGAGGGGAAGAGGGAGGAGGGGGTAGGAGAGGACAAGATGATGATGATGATGATGATGATGATGATGATGATGATGATGATGATGATGATGATGATGATGATGATGATGATGATGATGATGATGATGATGATGATGATGATGATGATGATGATGATGATGATGATGATGATGATGATGATGATGATGATGATGATGATGATTGACGACGACGACGACGACG